AGTGGGGACACCCCCATAGGAGGGGGCACCCCACAGGGGGCAATCCCCATCAGTGGGGACCCCCCTGGTCAGTGGGGACACCATCCATCAGTGGGGACACCCCATCCATTCAGGGGGGACACCCCATCCATTCAGTGGGGACACCCCATCCATTCAGGGGGGACACCCCATCCATTCAGTGGGGACACCATACATCAGTGGGGACACCATCCATCAGTGGGGACACCCCATCCATTCAGGGGGGACACCATCCATCAGTGGGGACACTCCCCATCCGTGGGGACACCATTAATCAGCGGGGACCCCCCCATCAGTGGGGACATCCCCAGGGGACACCCCCCATCAGTGGGAACCGCCCCTCTGATCAGCAGAGACCCCCCCAGTCAGTGGAGATCCCCCCACAAGAGGGGACACCCCATCAGTGGGAACAACCCCCCAGCCTTATGGGGACCCTTCTCATAAGAGGGAACACCCCCCCAGCTAGTGGGGACACCCCCATCAGTGAGGACAGGTGGATGGGGCTGAGGATGGGGATGGGGCTGAGGATGGATGATGAAGAGGATGAAGGTGAAGAGGGGGATGGATGGGAATGAGGATGAAGAGGGGGATGGATGGGAATGAGGATGAGGATGGGGATGGATGCAGCCGGATGGGGATGAAGACAGGGATGAGGATGAAGATCTGGATGGGCGGGGGCAAAGATGAAGGCTGGGATGAGGATAAAGATGAAGATACAGACAGATGGGGATGAGGATAAAGGGGGATGGTAACGAGGATGAATGGGGATGAAGAAGAAGATTGGGATGGGGATGAAGATTAGAATGAGGATGAGGATGAAGACTGAACGAGGATGAAGATGGAAGGGAATGGGGATGGATGGGGGTGAATAGAGACAGCTGAGGATGAGGATGGGGATGGGGATGGGGATGGACGGGGATGGTCAGTGGTGGGACAGCCCCGTGGCCGGGCCCCCTCACCCTCCAGTGCCTCCTTGGCCTGGAGCAGCGTCCGGCCCTCACTCTCCAGCTGCTGGTTCCGGGCCTGGAGCTGGGCCAGCTGTGCCTGCAGCTGGAACACGCTGCTCTCCAGCCCCTCCTTCTCCGACCTGGAATGCCGGGAACACTGCCGGGACAGGCTGGGGGAGCTGCCCTGGCACCCACATCCCCACCCAGCACCCACCTGAGCCCGGAACCTTCCCATCCATCCCAGCACCCATCTGAGATTGGAACCCCCCCCCACTGAGCCCAGAACCCTCCCATCAATCTCAGCACCCACCTGAACTTGGAACCTCCCATCCCACCTGAGCCCAGAACTTCCCCAATCCCGGCATCCACCTGAGCACAGAACCCCCCTATCCATCCAGGCATCCACCTGAGACTGAAACCACCCCATCCCACCTGGGCCCAGCACTTTCCCAATCCTGGCACCCACCTGAGCCCAAAACCACCCCATTCCACTGAGCCAGGAACCCCCTCCGCCCCAGCACCTGCCCGAGCCTGGAACCCCCCACCCATCCCAGTACCACCTGATTTCAGAACTCCCCCATCCCACCTGGGCCCAGAAGTTCCCCCATCCCAGCACCTACCTGAGCCCAGACCCTCCCACCCATCCCATCCCATCCCATCCCATCCCACCTGAGCCCAGACTCCTCCCATCCATCCCCCATCCCATCCCATCCCACCCCACCTGAGCCCCTGTGCCTCCCTGTGGCACTCCTGCCCGTGCCGCTGTGCCATGGCGAGCTGCACGGCCAGCCCGGCGCTGTCCTGGGCCAGCTCCGCGTGGCTCCGGCTCAGCCGCTCCTGCTCCACCCGCAGCTGCTCCTGCTCCGCCCGCGCCCGCGCCAGCGCCTCGCCCGCCGTGCCCTGGGCCTGCAGAGCCTGTGCCGGGAACACCGGGGGCACGGGGAGCAACGGGAACACGGGCAGCATTGGGACCAAGGGAATATCAGGATCACGGGGCGCAACGGGACCACGGGGAGCACCAGGACCGCAGGAATACCGGGACCATGGGGAGCATTGGGACCACGGGAATATCGGGATCACAGAGAGCGCCGGGACCAATGGAATATTGGGATCATAGGGAGCACCGGGACCACCTGGAGCACCAGGACCACCGGGAACACCGGGTACCAGTGGGGAACACTGGGAACACCACAGGGACCACCAAGTACCACAGGGACCATCAGTCACCCCCCACAGAGCACCAGTTACCACACAGGGACCACCAGTTACCACACAGGGACCACCAGTTACCCCTCCTGGATCACCAGTTACCACACAGGGACCATCAGTTACCCCTCATGGACAAGGAGTTACCCCTCAGGGACCCCCAACGGCACCACAGGGTACACCAGTCACCCTTCACGGACCACCAGTTATCACACACACGGACCACCAGTCACCCCCAGGGACCCCCAGTTCCCACGCAGGGATAACCAGCCCCACCTCATGGACCCTCCACCCCTCCCAGTCAGCCCCCACCGCTCCCAGTGCCCCGTCCCGGTGCCCACCTGTGCCAGGTGCTGGCGCAGCCGAAGGTGTTCCTGGCGCAGCGCCCGCAGCTCCGCCCGCACGCCCCGGGACCCCTCCAGCGCCGCGCTCCGGGCCCGCTCCAGGCCCTGCCGCTCCAGGATCCCGGCGCGGCGCCCGCGCTCCAGCCGCGCCCGGAGCTGCGCCAGCTCCCGCAGCAGCTCCCGCGTCCGCAGCCGCCCGCGCTCCCGCTCCTGCTCCAGCCGCTCCAGCCGCCGGCACAGCTCCGCCTTCTCCCGCGCCAGCCCCGACGCCAGCTCCGAGGTCTTGGCCAAGGCGTCCCGCAGCCGGCATTCCTCGGATTCCGCCGCCCGCTGTGCCAGGGCCAGCTCCCCGCAGCTGCCCTGCGCCTGCCACGGCGGGCACCGGGTGGGCACGGCGGCAACGGGGGGCAACGGGGGCACAGGGAGGGTGTCAGGGGCGACTGAGGGGTGGGGAGGGTACAGGGGGTCACTGGGAGGGTGTCAGGGGTCACTGGGAGGAGAGGGAAGGGGGCATGGGGTGACTGGGAGGGTGCCAGGCGTGACTCAGAGGTGTGGAGAACATGCACGGGGTAACTGAGGCATGGTGGGCAGCTGGGGCATGGGGGGCATCAGCTGCAGGGGTGGCATCCCTGCCACCTGCATCCATGGGAATTCACCCACTGCATAGGGATACACCTCTATCCATGGGATGCACCTCTATCCATAGGGATGCACCTCCATCCATTGGGGATGCACCTCCATCCATTGGGGATGCACCTCTATCCATGGGATGCACCTCCATCCATTGGGGATGCACCTCTATCCATTGGGTGCACCTCTATCCATGGGATGCACCTCTATCCATAGGGATGCACCTCTATCCATGGGATGCACCTCTATCCATGGGATGCACCTCTATCCATTGGGTGTACTTCTATCCATTGGGGATGCATGTCTATCCATGGGGGGCACTTCTATCCATAGGGATGCACCTCTACCCGTAGGGATGCACCTCCCTATCCATAGGGATGTACCTCTATCCATAGGGGGCACCTCTATCCATAGGGATGCACTTCTATCCATTGGGGGCACCCGCTGCAATGGGACAGACCCCCTGTGGGTGCTGGGGTTTGGGGGTGCCCACCTTTCCCAGCGCCTGTGCCAGCACATCCCGCTCTCCCCGTGCCAGCTCCGCCTGCAGCTCCGCCCGGCTCTGCTCCTCCCGCGCCTCCAGCAGCTCCCGCTGCGCCCGCGCCCGCTGCGCCTCCAGCTCCTCCAGCTGCCGCTGGCTGGGCACCACGGGGGCAGGGGGGCTCAGCACCCGCGGCGGGGGGCAGAACCCACCCGGGGGGGCTTTGGGGCTCTCACTGCGCTCGAGGAGCAGCCCCTGGGGGTGGGGGACACTGCAGTGCCCACCCCCACCCTGCACCCACCTGTGCCCCCCTGAACCCTCCTGTGCCCCTCTGCACCTGCCTGTGCAGGGGATGCACCTCCATCCACCTGTGAACTCACCTGTGCCCCTCAACACCAACTTGTGTCCCCCTGCACCAACCTGTGACCCCCTGAATTCACCTGTGGCCCCCTGCATCCCCCTGTGCCCCCTGAACTCACCTATGCCCCCCAACACCAACCTCTGCCCCCTGAATTCACCTGTGCCCCCCTGCACCCCCCGAGCCCCCCAGTCCCCACCTGTGCTCCAGCTGCTCCCGGGCGCTCTGGGCATCCCGGGCAGCCTCATCCCGGGAATCCTCGAGCCCCTCGTTCTGGCGCTGGAGCTGCGCCCGCTCCTGCTCCAGAGCTCCCGCCCGCTGCTGCTCCACTGCCAGCACCGCCTCCGCCCGCTCCAGCTCCCTGACGGACACACGGACACGGCGGGGGGGGTGGGCATGGGCAGGCGGATGGACAGAGAGACGAACACGGCGGGGGGGATGGATGGACAGACGGACACGGGGTGGATGGATGGAGAGATGGACACGGGGTGGATGGATGGACAAATGGACATGGATGAGTGGATGGAGGGATGGATGGACAGGCAGACACAGAGTAGGTGGAGGGACAGAGGAACACAGGTGGATGGACAGATGGACGGACGGATGGATGGATGGACAGATGGACATGGGGGATGGATGGATGGATGGATGGATGGATGGATGGATGGATGGATGGACAGGGAGGATGGATGGGTGGGGGATGCTCACAGGTGGGTCAAGAAAGATGCATCAGAATGGAAGGATGTGCAGGGACAGACAGACAGATGTGTAGGGATGGATGGATAGGGATGGATGGATAGGGACAGATAGACAAGACATGGATACAAGCACAGGGACAGATGGACACACGGACACAAGTACAGGGAGAGACACACGGATGCACAGGGACAGACGGACACATGGACACAGGCACAGGCACAGCCAGGCTGGCCTGGTTGGAGCCGGGAACACCCGTCTGTCCATCCGTCCCTCCCTCCATCCCTTCATCCATCCCTCCATTATCTGTCCATCCATCATCCATCTGTCTCTCCATCCATCCATCCCTCCATCCATCATCCATTCATCCATCATCCATCATCCATCCGTCCCTCCATTATCTGTCCCTCCATCCATCCATCATCCGTCCATCCATCCGTCCCTCCGTCCTTCCATCCCTCATCCATCCCCCCCTCCTCTCTCCCTCCCTCGGTACCTCCGCAGCTCCTCGTTCCGCGCCCTCAGCCCGAGTCCCTCCCGCAGCGCCTCGTCCCGCTCCCGGCGGCAGTTCCCGGTCTCCGCCCGGAGCTGCTCCAGCCGCTTTTCCAGCGCCTCCAGCCGCCCCTCGCTGTCCCGCAGCTCCCGCCGCAGCCCCGCGGCCGCTTCCCGGCCCTGCTCTGCCTGGCTCCGCGCTTCCTGCGCCGGGAAAGGGCTCAGCCCCGGCATCATCCTCAGCCTCCCTCCTCCTCCTCCTCCTGCCCCGCTCACCGTCAGCTCCGCCCGCCGCCGGACCAGCCACGAGCGAACGGCGCCGGGGGACAGGGCAGGGGACACGGCGGGACACGGCGGCGACACCGCGCCGGGCGCTGGGGAGGACGCGGGGTCATCGGCCAGCACCGCCTGCGGGACACACGGAGCGGCTGGAGCGGGAACACCGGGAGCTGCGGCGGGACAGCGGGCAGGGAACGGGAAACTGGGGCGGGAAAGGGGAAACAGAGGTGGGAAAGCGAAAACTGAGGCGGAAAAGGTGGAACTGAGGTGGGAAAGGGAAAACAGAGGCAGGAAAGCGGAAACTGAGGCGGGAAAGGGGAAACTGAAATGAGAAAAGGGAAACGGAATCCAGGGAAGGGGAAACAGAGGTGGGAAAGGGAAAACTGAGGCGGGAAAGGGAAAACTGAGGCAGGAAAGGGGGAACTGAGTCAAGGGAAGGCAAAACTGAAGCAGAGAGGGGGAAATGGAGTCATGGGATGGGGAAGCTGAGGCGGGAAAGGGGAAACTGAGGTGGGGAAGGAAGGGGAAGACGAGTGAAGGAAAGGGGAAATTGTGTCAAGAAAAGCAGAAACTGAGGAAGGGGGATACAGAGTCAAGGGATGGGAAAACAGACAGGAAAGCAGAAACTGAGTCAAGGAAGGGGGAAACTGAGTCAAGGGATAGGGAAACTGAGGTGTGAAAGGGGAAACCGAGGCAGGGCCGGGCTGTCCCCAGCACCTGGGTGACGTCGTGCAGGGTGCGGCGGAGCAGCTCCAGCTCCGAGCGCAGCGCCTGCACCTCCTCCGGCGGCGGCTCCCGGGCGCGCGCGGCCTCCTGGAAACACCCTCGGGCATCAGGGTCCGGTCCCGGCTCACCCCCCGAGCCCGGCGCCCCCGAGCCGCACCCACCAGCTCCCGCAGCTGCAGGGTCAGCGCCTGCACCGCCCGCTCCCTCTCCTCGTCCTCGCCCCGCCGCCGCTCCAGCGCCGCCGTCATCTCCTCCAGCCTGCGGCACACACCGGGAAGCGCCGCGGTCCCCGCAGCCGGCCCCGCAACCCCCGAGCCCCCCGGACCGTCCCTACTTGGCTCCCAGGGCGGATTTCTCCAGGTCGGCATCTCGTGCCCGCGCCGCCAGCTGCTCCTCCAGCTGTGCCAGGCGCAGCTCCCGCCGCTCCCGCGCCGCTCCCGCCTGGCTCTCGGCCAGGCGCAGGTTGGCCCCCAGGGCCAGGCAGGCGGCGTGGGCGGCGCGGCCCGCCCGGGACACCTCGTGGCCCAGCTCCGACAGGTCCCTGCGGGGGGAGATGCGGGGGGGCAGCCGGAGGCCCTCGGGAACCCCCAGGGATCGCCCCCCCGGCCGGGACCCCCGCTGACCTCTCGGTGCTGGATTTCATGTCCCCGAAGTGCCGCCGCAGAGCCACCACCTGCCTCCAGAGGGTCAGGAGCCGGCTGTGCTCCGTGCTGAAGTAGGCGTTGAAGGACTGCGGGTAGGTGGAGGGGGGTCGGCGCCCGCTGGGAGACCCACCACGCTCCCCAAATTCCCAAATGTCCCCCTGGCCACGCCCATCACCCCGCGGTGCTGCGCAGCCCCAATTCCCTCAGGCACAGAGAGAGTTGGGGACACATCCCCTTGCCTGGCATCCCCTCCCCATCATATCCCCTGTACCCCCAAATCCCTCTCTGTGCAGCACTCCCCGTGGCCCCACATCCCTCCCAGTGGTCCTGTATCATTTTCCATGGTGCATCCCTGCATCCTCCTGCCTCACAGCCCCTTCCCATCACACGTCACATCCCCAAGTTCTTCTCCAGGCAACATCCCCCATGACCCTGCACCCCTCCTGGTGCAGGAGTCTCCAGGTGGTCCTGGAGACTTTCCATGATGCTTCCTTCTGACTCATATTCCTTTCCCACCACAAGCCACATCCCCTGCACCCCCAAAGCCTTCTCCATGCAACATCCCCACAGTCCTGTACCCCTCTGGTGCTCCTGCATCCCCTTCCATGTCACAGCCCCCATGGTCCCCCATCCCTCCTGCTGGTCCTGCACCCCTTTCCATGAGGTATCCCCACGTTATAGCCCCTTCCTACAATGAGCCACATCCCCTGCACCCCTAAAATTCTTCCCTGTGCAACATCCCACATCCCTCCAGGTGGTCCTGCATCCCTTTCCAAGAGGTATCCCTGCATTATATCCCCTTCTTATCACAAGCCACATCCCCTGCACTCCCAAATTCTTCTCCATGTAACATCCCCCACGACCCTGCACCCCTCCTAGTGGTCCTGGAGACTTTCCATGATGCTTCCCTCTGACTCATATTCCCTCCCCATCATGTGCCACCTCCCCTGCACTCCCAAATTTTCTTTGCCACATCCCCCATGGTCCCACATCCCTCCCACTGGTCCCGCATCCCTTTCCATGATACATCCCTGCATTATATCTCTTTCCCATCACGTGCCACATGGCACGTGCTCCCAAATGGAACGTCCCACAAGACCCTCCATCCCTCTCCGTGATCCCGCATCCCTTTCCAAGCCACATCCCTCTGCCTCACAGCCCTCCCTGATGGATCCCTGCCTCCCCCCACATTCCAGGGCCCCCCGGACCTCCTCCTCGCGCCTCCACTCGGCCTCCCTCTGCTCCAGCTCATCCCTGCTCCGTGCCCAGTCCGCCGTGAGCTTCCGGATGTCCTCGCTCAGCGCCGCGTTGGCCGCGTTGGCCTGTTCCAGCTGCTCCCGCAGCATCGAGTTCACCTGCACCAGGCTGCTGCTCCTGGGATGGGGACACAGGGACCCGTGGAGCATCCCACCGGGAATGCCCAACACCTGCCCAGGGACCCCCACTCTGCTGCTCCTGGGATGGGGAGGGAGGGGATGGATGATGGATGGAATGTCCCCCCAGGAACTCCCACATCTTCCCCAGGGATCGTGCTCACCTCTGCTGCTCCTGGGATGGGTGGAATGGCCGGAGCATCCCCCTGGAAATCTCCCCAACTCTCAAGGATCCCCACTCACCTCTGCTGCTCTTGGGATGGAGAGGATCCCCCTCCTGGGAATCCCCAAACCTCCCCAAGGATCCCACTCACCTCTACGCTCCTGGGATGGAGGGAATGGAGGGGATCCCCCTCCTGGGAATCCCCACACCTTCCTGAGGATCCCACTCACCTTTGCTGCTCCTGGGATGGGGGGTCACCGTGTCTGGAGCATCCCACCCCTCCAGGGATCCCGCTCACCTCTGCTGCTCCTCTTCCAGCCGGATCAGGGCGTTCTCCAGCTCGTTGCTGCTCTCCTCCTCTGGCTGGGAGCCGCTGGCATCCAGCTGGATCTGTGGGAACATCCCGCTCGCCACCACCTCGATCTGGGGGGGGTTTGGGGCAGGACATCCCCTGGGCCCATCCCTCACCGTCAGCCTCTCCTGCTCCAGCTCCGTCGCCTTCTCCAGCAGCTGCTGCTCCACTTCCCCACATTTCTTCTTGTACTGCAGCACCTGCGGGGGGACGGGGCCGTGACACCGGGGGTGACACCCGGGGGGGCTCCCAGACCGTCCCTGCTCCCCCCGGGAAGGATTTACCTTGGCCTGGAGCTTCTGCACGAGCTGGGCCTGTCTCTGCTGCCCCTCCTGGTAGGCCTGGAGCTTCCGCTTGTAGGCGGCTTGTTCCTCCTCCAGGAGCCTCCGGAGCTCGATGTTGTGCTGGGCCAGGCTCCGGCTCTCGGCCGCTTCCCGCTCTCCCGCCTCCGTGCGCAGGGATTGCTCCAGCTGGGAGAGGGGTGGGATACGGGCTGGCACCCCCCGGCACCCCCCGAGCACCACCCATCATGTCCCAGGAAAGCTGGGGAGGTCCCACAGCAAATCCTGGAGAGCCACAGCCAAGCCCCCAACAAATCCCACCTTCCCCCCCAGATCCCACCTTCCCCCCCAAATCCCAGCTTCCCACCCTCTTTGCACGCCCAGGGAGGGGAGGGATGGGAAGTTTTGGGGGTGCTTTCCAAACTAACCCAACTCTCCGTGTGGGGGCTCAGCAAAGCCCCATCCCGGCCTGTGCCCGATGGATCGAGGGCGGGAGGGACAATTCCCAGGGGATATTTTCCTGATGTTGGGGTTTTGTTCATAACCAGGCCCAGACAGAGGGATTTCTTCCAAACTTCCAACCCCCCTCAATTCGGGTCTCCCAGGAGCCGCTCTCAGCACTGGAAGGGCCAAAGCCCTTTTGAATTCCCAGTTTCCTTGGCAAAGGAATGCACCGGTGGGGGGGCTGCTTCCCGAAAAGCAGCAGCACCAACAAAACTGGGATGGAGGAGGGGGATGCTTTGTGCTTCCCACAGGACAAGCCCTGGCGAGCCAGGACGGGTCCGGACACGCCGGCACCACAATTCCCACCACAATGGCACCCCGGGAGCAGGGAATGCCGAGGGTGGGGGTTGTACAGCCGTGGGTTGGGGGTTAGAAAGGGGGGTTTGGGGTTAAAAACGTGGGTTTGGGGTTAAAAACGTAGCTTTGGGGTTAAAAGGGTGGGGGTGGGATTAAAAGGTGAGGTTTGGGTTAAAAAGGTGGGTTTGGGGTTAGAAAGGTGGGTTTGGGGCTAGAAAGGTGAGGTTTGGGGTTAAAAGGGCAGGTTTGGGGTTACAAAGGTGGGTCTGGGGTTACAAAGGCGGGTTTGGGGTCAGAAGGGTGAGTTTGGGGTCAGAAGGGAGAGTTTGGGGTTACAAAGGTAGGTTTGGGGCTACAAAGGTGAGGTTTGGGGTCAGAAGGGGGGGGTTTGGTGCCCCACCCTCTCGCTGATGGCATTGTACTTGATGGCCAACTCATCGCGCTCCGCCCGGCTCTGGGCCAGCAGATCCTCCACCCGGGACAGCTCCTGCTGCAGGATCCTGTTCTCCTCCTGGAGGGACAGCAGCGAGGACATGGCCCCTGCGGGGTGGGGCCGGATGGGATCCAGCCCCGGGACGGAGCCAAGGCCCCCTTTGCTCCCGGAGCTGCCTCGTTCCCTGGGAAGGGGCTGCGCCTCCCCCGCGCGCTCCGGGAGCGGTTTGACCCCCCCGGGCTGGAAACGCCTCCCTCCCACAACTTGGCCGTGCCGAGGGATGCCCTTTGGGGTGGGAGGACTGCTGGAAATGCACAGTTGCAGTCTCAAAGCCTCTGAAAACTCACAGCTGCCACGCTCAGACCCACGCTCAGACCCCCAAACCCGCTGCAGACTCGGAGCTGCGCTCACAGAACCACTGCAAATTTGTGTTTGGGACCACAAACCCACTGCAAATCCATCACAAAAGGGCTGCAGCTTCGCAGTTGCGATGGCAAAACAGCTGCAAACGTGTTTGGGATCCCCAAACTACTGCAGGGTCACGTCTGTGACGGCAAGACTGCGACAGTCACAGCTGCGATCACCAAAAGTGCCACAAATTCACACTCATGACCCCAAACCCGCTGCAGATTCCTGCCTGTGGCCCCAGACCCACTAAGATCTGCAGCTGGGATCACAAAAGTGCTGCAGATTTATAGTTGCAATCACCAAACTGCCACAAAATTTGCATTTATGATCACGAAACTGCTGCGAAATCATGTCTGTGATCATGAAACCACTGCAGATTTGCAGCTGCAATCACAAAACTGTCACCAATTTGCACTTATGATGCCAAAAACTCCGCAGATTTGCAGCTGGGATCACAGAAATCCTGCAGATTTACAGTTGGGATCCCAAAATCACTAAAAATTCCCATTTGTGATCCCGAACCCGCTGCAGATTTGCAGTTCCTATCACAGAAGCGCTGCAAATTTAGAGTTGCAATCATAAAACCATCCCAAGCTTGCATTTATTATTCCAAACCCACTGCAAATTCCTGTTTCTGACAGCAAAACCACTGCACATTTAGAGTTCCAATCCCAAAACTGTCAGAAATCTGCATTTATGATCCCCAAACACTGCAAATTCCTGTTTGTGATCCCAAACCCTCTGCAGATCTGGAGTTAAAATCACAAAACTTGCTGCAGATCTGGAGTTAAAATCACAAAACTCGCTGCAGATCTGGAGTTAAAATCACAAAACTCGCTGCAGATTTATAATTGCAATCAGAAAACTGTCACAAAATTGCACTTATGATCCCCAAAACTGCTCATTTCCAGTTGCAGTCCCCAAAAATGCTGCAGATTTACAGCTGCAATCCCAAAACTGCCACCAAATTTGCATTTGTGATCCCAAAATCTCCACAGATCCCTGTTTGTGATGCCAAACCCACCACAGATTTGCAGTTCCTATCACAAAACCACTGCAGTTTTATAGCTGCAATCACAAAACTGCCACAAACCTGCAAATATGATCCCCAAAACTCTACAGATTTCCAGCTACAATCACAAAACTGCTGCGGATTTACAGTTGGGATCCCCAAATCACTAAAACTCCCTGTTTGTGATCCCAAAGCCGCTGTAGATTTGCAGCTGGCATCACAAAGTGCTGCAGATTTACAGCTGCAATCCCAAAACTGCCACAAAATTTGCATTTGTGATCCCAAAACCTCAGCAGACTTCCAGCTGCAATGAAAAAAATCACTGAAACTTTGTGTTTGTGACCCCAAAAGTGCTGCAGATTTACAGCTGCAATCCCAAAACTGCCCCAAAATTCGCATTTGTGGTCCCCCAATCTGCCCACGTTCCCGTTTGTGATCCCAAATCCGCCACAGGTTTGCAGTTCCTTATCCCAGGGCTGCAGATTCCCGGTTACAATCCCCAAACTGCTGCAGATTTTTGCACTTCCTGATCCCAAAACCGCTGCAGGATTTCCAGTCGTGACCCCCAAAACCGCCGCGCGTTCGTATTCGCAGCCCCGAACCCGCCCCGATTCGCCGCCGCGACCCCAAATCCCAGCACAAAAGGCCCCTTTATCCCAACCCCGCTGCCCGGGCGCCACTCCCCGTGCCATTCCCATTCCCATTCCCATTCCCATTCCCATTCCCATTCCTGATGCCGCGCTCCCGCTCCGCGGCTCCGCGAGGGGGGACACGGGGACCCCACCTCAGCCTCGGGCTTCCCGGAGCATCCAAGTTGCCCTCGGCACCCCCTCGGCGCGGCCTCTTTGTCCCGACCCCCCTTTTCCTGGGATTTTGGGCTGTTTCCACCCCTTTCCTGGGAGTGGAAAGCGGATGCGAGGTCGGGATTAGCCCGAAATCCCGCCGTCCCCTCCCTGCGTGACGGCGGGAGCGGGGACCCTCCTCTTCCTGGGGGGGTCCCAACGCCTCCGACACCAACATTCCACCATCCTCCTCCAAAAATACCCCTCGGCATTCCCGGCCTTTGGAAATAAACCCACCCCGAGGCTCTTGGCGAGAAGGAGGAAAATGAAGGAAAATATAAACAGATACCAACCCCCCGGCGCTTCCCGCGAGCAAAACGGGTGGGAAAGTCCCGGCTCGGCGGCGGGATGGGGATTCCAGCAGGGAACGGAGCTCCTTGGGAAGAGGCAGCCGCTCCCCTCGTTAAGCCCCGGCGCTCATTAAGCTCATTAACGCCCCGGGGTTCGCTCCGGCAGGAAAAGCTCCGGGGAGGAGCGAGCCGGGGTTGCCAAGGGGTGAAGCGGCTTTAAACCCTCCCCCGGGATGTGGGAATGTACCGGGACTCGGGATGATCCAGCTTTAAACCCTCCCCCGGGATGTGGGAATGCGCCGGGACTCGGGAGGATTCCCCGCGCCGCCGCCTCTGGAGCAGCAACGTTCCCCCTCTCGGGTAATTCAGGATTTTTTCCCCCCCCGGTAGGGAAAGGGGACGGGAAATCCCCGATCCGAGCCCCAAACCTGCCCCCAGTGGGGGCCGGAGACATCCCTGCTCCCGAAACAAGGGATGGATCCCATCCCAAGCCACACTCTGCTTTCCAGGGGGTCTCCCACCCTCTTTCCCAATCCCCCCCTCCAGGGAAAGTGCCCTTTCTCCTCCGGATTACAGGGACCAGGCAGATGGGATTGAGGATTTATGTTGCCTTGGATCCCTGCAGCCAAGGGGAAGCTGCCTCCAATCCCCCCCCTCGAGCACTTGTGTCCCAAAAACCCTCCTTTTCCCCCCATTTCCTCCCTCACCTCCCTCTCCCGGCGACCTTCCCAAGCACAAACCACTGCTAAGCAACAGGTTCTGTTGTGCTTCCCCGGCCAATCCCCTTCCCATTCCCGTTTCCTTGGCACCACCGAGGAGAGGGAACCACAGAAGCCCATCCCAGTCCCTCCGAGCAGCCCCGGGGGAGGAAAAGATTCCACTGTGGCATCCAAAGCGTTTTATTGTTCACTCTGAGGCGTCCCAGTCTCACCTGGCTTTGCTGCCAGGCCCAGGGAAAAGCTCCGAAAGCAAAATGCCCGTCAGCCAGTTGGAAAAGGAAAAGTCCAAGGCACTGAATAAAAAAACAAGTGGGATTTCGTACGTGGAAAAGGCTTCATATAAATAGGTAAGAAAATATTTCTGTGTTTAGGGAGGAGTCTCAACCCCAGCTCTGTCCAAGAGACCGTTCTGTCCCTAATGAAAAGTCCATGGAAAGAAGTAAAAAATCCTGTCTTCAAAGGAGAGCAGGAATAAAGCAAACTTCCCAGAGTAAGAAATGAGGAATTTCAGCATGGAAACACCACGGCTGGAGCTTCCCAACATCCCAGGTAAGTGCTCAGGAAGAAAACCAAGGTGATATTCGGCATCTTGGCAGGCGTCGTGCGGAGCTGGGAGGTGGGATGTCTCCAGGAGGATGCTCCTTGCCCAGGGAAGGATTTATCCAGCCCAAAAAACCAAGGAGAAAGTCCCTGAGGAGACCCCAAGCACCCCCTTGTTATGGAGGAGAGGGGACGAACCGGATGGTTTTTCCCAAGGGAGAAGGTCTCCCGTGATCCAGGGGGAAAATAACAGACCCTGGATGCAGCAGGCACGGGGGTGTGGAGTGTTTTAAGGCACGTGGTTGGTTCTTTCCAGCACTTATTCCAGCATTTTGATGCCAGGCAGGATTTAAGGGCAGGAGTGAAGGTGTCCTGAAGCTGCTTCTTTGGTCCCAAAGGAATCCCGAGGATCCCAGTACCCTTGTGGGCTCAGAACTGGACCCAGTTCCCCTGAGTCTGGTTAGGAGTCGACCTGGAGAGAGGGAAAACCAGGGAAAAAAGGGGATTTAGACCTGGAAGGGGCATCCAGGCAGCAAATGGGTCCTCCAGGATCACCCCAGAATTATCCTGGAGCACGAAGTGCCCGTAGACTTGAACTCAGGGAATCTGCACCCCACAGAACCACGGAATGTCCTGAGCTGGAAGGGCCCCCAAGGATCACCCAGTCCAACCCCTGGCCCTGCCCAGGACACCCCAAAATCCCATCCTGTCCCTGGGAGCATTGTCCAAACGCTCCTGGAGCTCTGGCAGAGTTGCTTTTGAATCCCGAAGTTGGGACTGGGTGGAGCAGTGCCCCCACCCCAGCGGGGTTTTCCAGCAAAACCAGCAGGATTTGGGGCACCCTCATCCCACCCAAAGCCCCTCCAGGCTCACCCCGAAGCTTTGGCAAAGTCTCCCCAGGCGTCGGCAGCGGGAGCAGCGGGAGCAGCGGGAGCAGAGGGCTGAGGCCAGGACAGCACCGAGTCTGTGGGCAGAGAGAACACAAACACCAGGGGTTATTTCCTGCCCTTGTTCCCGCATTCCCCCAGCTCCAAAGGATTCCATGGAGCCTGCCGGCTCTGCCGTGCCCAGACCTGTGATGGGCGTTCCCGGGAGCTGGGCGGGGCCGGGCAGGGAGGGCGGGCGCTCTCCACAGGATTTCCCCCCGGGAGGTGGTGGGAGCAAAGTCAGGCCCCCGGGCCCTGCAGGACGTGGTCTGGTGTTCCCTGTGGCTCCTTCCTTTTTCTTCATGTTCTGAAAGAAGAGTGGGAATTTTGGGTGGGATCACATTCAAAGCCAGAGCTGGGGAGCAAATCCCACAAAGCCAAACGGGTTTATTCTGGGGATAAAATCCTGCGGTGCTGGGATATCCCACTGCTGGTGCATCCAAAGGGGTCAACCAAGGGTGGTTTTTTTGTCCAAAAATCCCATAAACCCGGTTCTGGAACCAGGAATTGTAACACAACCCCCCGCAAATCCCTGCAGGCAGCGTTATCCCAATGGGCTCTGCTCCAGCATTCCTCCTGCGTGAGGATTTTGGGGAGAAGCCGCTGCTTTCTTGTGCCACCCGAGGTTGGAATTAGCTGGAAAAGCCCCTCACAGCGATGTTGAGTTTGATGGTTTGTCCTTCCTTGAATCCCAGGTCCAGTTTGGGTCCCTGATCCAGGTCCTGCCGGGCCAGCTCACTCTGCTGCCTCACCCACCTGCGGGAATTAAATCCATGGAAAAGGAGACGTCACCAGGCTCCCCCAGACAAATCCTGCTCAGGATCATCCCCTGGGCCCGGCAGCAGCTCCTTAAAGGCTTCGGACGTGACCCGAGACCTCACCTGCCAGGGCACTGCAGGGACAATTCCCACGGATCCTCCAGCCATCCCTCCCCAAACCCCACCATTCCCAGCAGCTGGAGCAGCATCCCAGTCCCTCAGGGGCACCCCCTTACAGGTGGCATGTGAAGGAGGGAAATAAATCAGGGAATTTGCCCCCTTTGGGGCTCGGAAGCCCAGTTTGGGACACGGCTGATACAGAGGGCAGGGATACAAGAGTTCCCAGCTCTTCCCACCACACCTGCCCACTTCTCCAACATTCCTGGGGGACACCTGCCAAAACTGGAGCTGAGGAGCCAGGAAAGGCGCAGACTCACTTGAAATGGTCCTGCAGGGCCACGTTGAAGTCGAAGGCGTCCCCTCGGTCCGCGAAGCCGACCCCGATGAACGCCCGGCGGCCTGGGAACGGGGAGGGATAGGGGCTGGAATGCACAGCAGCGGAGGAGCAGGGATGGGATAGTCCATCCCACACATCCTCGTGCCTGCTGCCAGCTCCAGTGAGAGCTGGGACTGTGGAGCCTGAGCCATGGCACTGGAGATCACGGAATCACAGAATCCCAGGATGCTTTGGGTTGGAAAGGACCTTAAGGATCATCCCATTCCACACCCTACCATGGGCAGGGACACCTCCCACTAGCCCAGGATGCTCCAAGCCCCGTCCAACCTGACCTTGGACACTCCCAGGGATGGGGCAGCCACAGCTTCTCTGGGAATTCCATCCCAGCCCCTCCCCACCCTCACAGGGAGGAATTCCTTCCCAATATCCCATCTATCCCTGCCCTCTGGCAGTGGGAAGCCATTCCCTTGTCCTGTCCCTCCATCCCTTGCCCCAAGTCCCTTTCCAGCTCCCTGGAGCCCCTTTAGGCACGGGAAGGCCACAATTAGGTCACAGCAAACCCTTCCCTTCTCCAGGGATTTCACCTCGTTGGTGTAAAACCCCTTGGAAGGGAACACGAAGCAGAGCTGGCACCACGGGGAGGATCCTGTGCCCTCACTCCAACACCGAGCAGGAAAATCCAAGTGTTTGTGTTCCTGGTGAAGGTCAGAGCCCTGCTGATGTGTGGGAGTGAGAGAGTTCCTCCCTCTGCCACCCTGTGCAGGGAATATCAGCCCTTAAAAGCAGGAATCTTTTCCAAACAATAATTCCTCCTTTTGCTACCCCAGGTAGGGAATGTCCTGCCCTGGAAAGCAGGAATCCTTCCCAAAAGGAGGGATCCTTCCCAAACAATAATTCCTCCCTTTGCCACCCTATACAGGGAATATCCTGCCCTGGAAAGCAGGAATCCTTCCCAAGCAGGAGCAGGGAGGGCTCTGAAGCCGTCCCAAGGTCTCTGGTGACACACCATTCTCATCCTCGATCCGGATGACGAAGTATCTGCTGGAATCCGTCACGCTCTCCACAGCAATTCCCGGGAACTGCTCCACAGGTGCCTGGGCAAAGAGCTCCCCTGGAAAAGAGAGACAGGAGCGGGATAACTCCAGGGCACGGCAGCACATTCCCGCGGGATCCATGGATCGCCCCTCACCCGAGGTCTTGTCCTCCAGGCGGATGAAGGCGGTGCTGCCGCGGGCCGTGATCCGCAGCCGCCCGCTCCAGGCCGGCTGGTCCAGCTGCCACTCCGCGGCTCTGGAAAACAGGGAATGCGTCTGAGCCGCCCCCCCAGAGCCCTCCGAGTGCCCCCCAAAGGCCCCTCGGAGCTGGG